TGTGTGTGTTTGTATGTATGTGTGTGTGTGTGTGTGTAAAATATGTGTACACTTCAATGTGTACACTGGAACGCTACCCTTAGCAATTTGAGGAAAACGTATAGACTATTTAAGTATGCACACGCATAGGCACACTTCATAGCTGATGTATATAGAATTTTACCACACGAACTACTAGTTGAAAGAGCAGCAATCAATACTACGATCATACAACATGTTGCATGGCAACCAAACACTGCTAGTAACCGAACATACTTCAAATGCTTGAGCTGGATGAAAAGCTTGTAGCTCCTGCTCCGCTGTTTGCGCTTCGGCTACCTCTGCTGACATTATCGACGCTTTTGTTGAGCGTCTCAAGACCACTCGGGGGGTTTTCTGTATGTATATGTAGATACTAGCGTTGGCTGTCAAGTATTGGTGGTGGTGTCGTGTGGCGCTGTTTACTGCTATGGACGAAGACCTCACTGTTGCGGATAACTATTTATTGATTCATATTATTTCCTTCATTACATACATATTTACATACATTCCGCCTATTTTACAAATCGGCACTGGGCCCTTTAGGTGCTGCGCACTGGCAATCTGATTAAATATCTCTGCGGCATTCAAGTTTCAACAGTCAAGTCAACTTTCAAGAGTAACTTTTAAATAGTATACTGTGAGCCGCTGTATAAATATGGTCAAAGTAGTATTGGCGCAATTCTTGGTCGACAATCCAAAAATAGAACCTTTTTTTTAGTATAGCTAGATAGATATTTATGTATTTTTTTCTAAACAAAAAACAAATACAAAATATATAGTGTAGAGTACAGAAGACTATAGAGACCACTAAATAGCATATTGACTATCAGACTCTATGCGCTCTCTTTGGTATTTATAATATTGTAACTATATTTATATGAGGTATAATTTATATTATATAAATATATGTAACTCTACTACATGTATACATATATCGTCACCACATAACGATTATAAATACGCCGTCACCAATATATGACTATATAATCCTATTGTAATCCAGAACGTCATCCATACATATACGTACTACAAAGAAATATACAGACATCGATCTAGTGATACTTGCGAGGTCTACCTCGATCCGTGAAGCTTTTTGCGACCGGCATATTGTCCAATTGATTAATTACACATCTTCAATACCATGGACGAAAAACGCAATAAGAATGAGAAGATCGGGAATTACATCCTAGACGACACCCTGGGTGTCGGCTCTTTTGGGAAGGTCAAACGTATGTTGTAGTTGGGCTTGTCTGAGACCTGAATGGGAGAATTTGTGGATTGATTATGCTTCAAAATTAAGCGTTTTGACTACTTGGATGTGCGTGTCAGTTACAGTTCCATAGATATCTGCGTAATAAAGAGTGCTATACGTAGATGTATATGTATGTACAATGTTTGAATTTTTTCTCTGTATGTGATGATACCCTCGTTGTATTATATATATATATATATATATATGTGTGTGTGTGTGTGTGTGTGTTTGTGTGTGTGTGTGTGTGTGT